TTTTTTGTGGTTTTATTTAAAAATCATTTGAAAATATGTTGTAATCTTTACTGTTTTCTTGTATAATCATTTATTTTAAAACATTAAATTACTTTTCCTGTCAATGATTTTCTATTTAAAGCTTGTAAATGCCCTTAATTTGTTAGTTAAACGATTTGTTTTTTTTTTTTTTTTTGTCAAGAGGATTTGTTTAAAAAAAGTTGTAATAAATGGGGTTTTGGTAATGGTAATACTTAATTTAAATCCAATTTAAATCACAGTTCATTTAAATAAATACTTAAATTAATTCAAAAAAGTTTTTATAATAAAAAAAGTAAATAAATTTGGTACACCAATTTCAAACGCCTATAAGTATGCCTTCAGTTAAGTTGTTTTGCTAACCAAACTGGCGCCTTTGATTAATGCAATAAAGATTGTTTGCTTAAAGAACTATAGACGAGATGTACTATAGACTGTTCTATAGTCCAGACTATAGACTGGTCTGTAGCGTAGACTATATTAATCTGTAGATCAGACTGATCTATTGCGTAGACTATAGACTGATCTATTGTGTAGACTATAGCCTGATCTATAGTCCAGACTATAGACTGATCTATAGTCCAGACTATAGACTGATTTATAGTCTAGACTATAGACTGATCTGTAGTCCAGACTTTAGACTGGTCTATAGTCCAGACTATAGACTGGTCTATAGTCCAGACTATAGACTGGTCTGTAGTCCAGACTATAAACTGATCTATAGTCCAGACTATAGACTGATCTATAGTCCAGACTATAGACTGATCTATAGTCCAGACTATAGACTGATCTATAGTCCAGACTATAGACTGATCTATAGTCCAGACTATAGACTGATCTATAGTCCAGACTACAGACTGATCTATGGTCCGCACTATATACTGATCTATGGTCCGCACTATATACTGATCTATAGTCCAGACTAAAGACTGATCTATAGTCCACACTATAGACTGATCTATAGTCCAGACTATAGACTGATCTATAGTCCAGACTGTAGACTGATCTATAGTCCATACTATAGACTGATCTATAGTCCAGTCTACAGACTGATCTATACTCCAGACTACAGATTGATCTATAGTCTAAACTATAGGCTGATCTATGGTCCGGACTATAGTCTGATCCAGTGTCCAGACTACAGACTGATCTATAGTCCCGACTATAGACTGATCTATAGTCCAGACTATAGACTGATCTATGGTCCGCACTATTTACTGATCTATAGTCCAGACTAAAGACTGATCTATAGTCCACACTATAGACTGATCAAGATTATAGACTGGTCTATAGTCGAGACTATAGACTGAACCATCGTTGAACTATAGACTGAACCAGGCTATAGACTGATCTGTAGTCCAGACTATAGACTGACCTGTAGTTCAAATTGATCTATAGAGTTAGACTGATCTATAGTGTAGACTATAGACTGATCTACAGTGTAGACTCTGGACTGATCTATAGTCCACACTATAGAGTGATCTATAGTCCAGACTATAGACATATTTATAGTCTAGACTATAGACTGATCTATAGTCCAGACTATAGACTGATCTATAGTCCAGACTATAGACTGGTCTATAGTCCAGACTATAGACTGATCTGTAGTCTAGACTATAGACTGATCTATAGTTCAGACTATAAACTGATTTATATGATCCATAGTCCAAACTATAGACTGATCTATAGTCTAGACTGTAGACTGATCCAGACTGATCTATAGTCCTGACTATTGACTTATCTATAGTCCTGACTATAGACTTATCTATAGTCCAGACTATAGACTGATTTATAGTCTAGACTATAGACCAGAGTAGCTCAATATTGCCATTACATAGCACGCGTGATAGGGTAAGAAAATTCTGCTGACGCTAAGTTGGTACACATACACTATAGGTTTAATTCTTCTTCTTTTTATAATGAGCAATATCAGTTGGTTTTCTCTCAACTTGAAAAACAAAATCAAATCAGTTGCTGATCAGCACTTGTCGAAGCGAGGTCTGTGCGCGACGTTTTTAAAATACACACAGAAATACAACAACAAAATTTTGAGAAAGACGAATTAATGTAGGAGAACATGAGAGAACAGTTGACAGTTTTTTATATATAGACTTTGATATACGCTGGCTGTCAAAATCCGTAATAAATATTTGACAGTTAGCATATACTTTATAGTTTGTAGTCATTTTATTCGTATACTTTTATTTTGAATTGAATTCTGTTCTCTGCTGCTTTACCAACACAAATAAAATTATGGTAATCTATGGTGGTATGTGTTTGAGCAACACTGCTATAGACTGATCTATAGTCCAGACTATACACTGATCTATAACTCAGACTATAGGACTTATCTATAGTCCTGACTATAGACTGATCTATAGTCCAGACTATAGACTGATTTATAGTCTAGACTATAGACTGATCTGTAGTCCAGACTTTAGACTGGTCTATAGTCCAGACTTTAGACTGGTCTATAGTCCAGACTATAGACTGGTCTATAGTCCAGACTATAGACTGCTAACGTTTTCAATTTATGCAATAAACCTGGATTTTATATAATATTTTATAGGTATTTCTTTAAAAGGTCAAATTTCAAGAATTTTCAAATAATTGTTTTTCTTTCGATCCTTAAAAGTTATTGAGGTTAAATTCTCTTAAAAAATTATTGTCTAATCATTGTAGAATTTAATGTATTTCAATTGAATTTTTAACAGAAAACAAACTTGGCATTAAATCGTCTACAAAAAAAGAAAGAAAACAAATTAAAAAGTAATAAAACTATAAGCAAATGTTGCACATGAAAGAACAAATGACTGATTTAATGATGTCTGTCTGGTTTATAGTATGTCTAGCTGACAGACAGACTAATGGCCAATAACGAACGAGTCTTAAATAAATGACAATACAATAATTTTAGTCTCAGTTTAAGACAAGTATTTAGTTTATAACGGAATTGGAGAAGAAAAAAAAACGTTAATACAATGGCAAACGATTTATTATTTTCAACAACAAATACACTTCAAAAGAAAAGTTTTACGATAACAGGGGGGTTTTCAAAATAAACAATAATATTAAATTTTGTATGGAAAACTTTTAAGCTTAGCACCCTGTTTGGAATACTATTCAAAATTATGTATGTGACCACCTCATAATTGTTAAAGAACCATATCAAGATTTCTTCAACTCGTAGCAATTTGTCAGCAATACCAATGTTATGAAACTCACGCATGCATGTGAATCAATTGCTAGCAATTGCATTTAACTGGTCTCAGAGGAGTAGTGAAGTGGTGGGTAATAAAGTAACAAACAAACAACTGAGACATAAAATCAAAATGTTTCTTTCTACTTAGTTTTGCATGACTTGGCATTTGTTTAAAGAACCGTAAGAATTTATTTGGTTTTTGTTATTATTGTTCGTTTTTAAAGTTTAATAAATTTTGTATTTGAGAAAATTAAAAAAAAAAATTAAGAAATAAACATGATGTTATGATTGCATGTTTAGGATGATGGCATTGTTTTCAATATACTTACTTAAGTATATTATGAGAACTCCCATCAGATAATGTTGGGTGTTTAACAGAATTGAAATTGTTTATATGATTGAAGTGGGCGTTAAAAGTATATAGACAATGTTAAGTAATAGATACAACGTTTTTGATCTTTTCTAGAAGAGTTCTAGATTAAAATTTGAAATCATTTAATGGGTTTAAACTTTCGTTAATGATAAGCTTAATTGCTTCAGAACTTAACATTAAGTATAACAGTATATGTTCAGATGATCGTTTATGATCGCCTCTAATGTACTGTGGGGGCTGAATGCGATCATATACAAATACTATGCTATTCTAACTAATTAGTCGTGTTCTAACACCAATATTGTCAACAATAGTTCAATCTGTAATCTTGACTATGGTTTAGCCTATAGTCTGGACTATATATCAATCTATAAACTCATATTTCATTATATAGTCTTGACTATAATTCAGTTTGTAATCTCTATTATAGTTCAGTCTATAGTCTTGACAATAGTTCGGTCTATACTTTCGACGATACTTTAATCTATAATCTCGACTATATTTTAATCTATATTCTCGTCTATAGTTCAGTCATAGTCTCGACCATAGTTCAGATTTCAGTCTATAGTCATGACTACTGTTCGGTTTATGGTCTTGACTACAATTCAATCGACAGTATCAACAATAGCGCAGGCTGTAGTCTCGACTATAGTTCAGTCTATAGTATCCGCTATTCAGTACAGATTATAGAGTCGACTTAATTCAGTCTATAGTCACGACTTGTTCAGTCTATGGTCTTGAACTATAATTAATTGAAATATAATTTATAGTCTCGACTTCAATTTATAGTCCTGACTATATTCTCGACAATAGTTCAGTCGATAGTCTCGACCATAGTTCAGTCGATAGTCTCGACCATAGTTCAGTCGATAGTCTCGACCATAGTTCAGTTAATAGTCTCGACTACAGACCAACTTAAGTCAACAGTCTTCGTTTAGTTTATAGTCCCAACCATAGTTTAGCGTCAACTGTATTTAAGTGAGTAATCTCGGCTATAGTTCAGTACATAGTCTTGATAAGTTGAACTATAGATCTGTGAAAATTTTCGATAATAGTTCAGGTAATAAATTGTTATAAAGTAGACCTGCGGGTTATTCACAGTCAAGACAAAAGTTTAGCTACGATCATTCAGCTTAGATGATCTGGCAAAACGATGAAAAGACGATTAGTATTCGTGCTCTGCAGCAATGCTTAGCGTAGTTTAAATTCAAACTAAACTCGTAAATGTTCACCCATTTCGAAGATCTGTTGAGAATATATTCTTATGTAATTTCTCTGAGTCACCTGAAGATTGTGAGAAAATCTTTCAGTTACCCCCTGACTTTTATTAAATACTGTACATTAAATTATATAATATGGTAACTCACTACCATGTACTAAAAGTAACCAAAACTTTTGAAGTTTATATTTGAAATTAGTAAAAAAAAAGTCAAAAAGAAATTTCATAAAATTTTACATTAAAAATTTTAAAGTTTTCTTAAAAAAATAGTAAAAAAAATTTAAATAAAAATCATCAAAAAAATTTCAAAATCATAATGCATTTTTGGCCTTTTAAGAAATCAGAAGCAGATATCGTTGCCAAAGAAACTAAAAATGGTAAATATAGGATTTAAATTTATTCTTAAGCTTTCCAGTGATATATAAATCTTTTCTTTACATTTAGAGGAGCCTGCGGCAAATAAATTTTCACAATTTTATGTTTTTAGTCAACAATTCAATGAGTTCATTAATAATAATATGCCTGTAGGCTTTCAGCAAAAGCTAGAACAAACTAAACCCTATATAATGGCCAGTTTTATAGCTTGGCCTATATTTTGGTTATACCGAGGGCTGGAATGGAGTAGTCATAGACAAAATGCCAGATTACCCATGTATATACAAAAGGTAAGTATTTAATTCCAATATTTCCGGTCTCTGGGTCTCGGATTTATATTAAATAACGATGTTCACATGTTGGGACCTCGTAGCCGATAATTTAAATTTTCGTCCTATATATTAAATCAAGAAGTAATGAAATCTGTTTATCATAAACCCGATTTCATCGGGAAGTAATTTTCGTTTATATTCTTTCGGATAAATGATCAAAAGTATTTCAGAATTTCTTTAAATTTCTTATCTAATTTCAGACCTATTTGCAGGCCAAATTTATGCAATTTTCCATAATAATGTTTGGCTTAACAGTGGCTTCTCTAATGGAGAATAGTAGAACGGAAATTGTGGAAAATACCTCCAATCAAATTAAACGTTAAGAAAATCAAAATCAGATAAAATTCTTTAAAAATTTTCGATCTAAAAAATACTCAAAATTAAAAAGAAGAGAAGAAAAACACTCTCAATAAAAAATATTTTAAAAAATATATACATTTGACAACTCTATAACAAATAAATTACGTTATTTTTATAAAAAAAAATAAACTTTTTGAAGTTTATTATTAAATTTTCTATTATTTTTCTTATTTCGTTAAATATGCGTTAAAAAAAATTAAATAAAAATAAAAACTTTAAATAAACTTAAATTTTGAAAAAAAAAAACAATAAATTTTTTTTTGTAAAATGGCCATTTTAAGCATATTTCAAGATGTTTACAATCATATTTACAATTATGTGTTTACGAAGAATGTCCATAAAAGTGAGTTTTAAAAACCTAAAGGGAATTTCCAACCATAATTCCAATTATAATTATTTTCCTTCCTATAGAACCCAACTTGGGAGAAGATTTACGTTTAGTAATGCAAAGTTCTGAATTCGAAAAACAACTACGTTCTTCATCTCCTTTCCTGATCACAGGTCTAATAGCTTGGCCTTCATATTGGTTGTATAGAGGTCTAGAATGGCATAGTGTTCGAGATGTGGAAACTTTGCCTTCGTATATAAGAAAAGTAAGTTTTTTTGGGGGAAGAAAATGGTTCGATTTTATTACTTTTATTTATAATTCTAGACTTTTTATCGTGCGAAAATTTTGGAATTTTGTATTTTACTAACCGGCATTTTAATGACTATACGTTCATCACATAAAGCCTTAACGAGACAGCTCGAAGTCAAGGAAATGGTGCAGAAAAAATAAAAGAAAATTTTGTAGTGTTTTGTTTTGACTTATAAAAGAATTTGTATTTTTTAAAGAAAGGATTTAGGATGTGTAATAATTACATCTGTTGTGGACTAGTTATTAATATCCTTAAGTAAGTAAAACTGACACAAAACTTGGGCCGTGATTGATTTTAGTTCCATAGTCTGGACCATAGCCCAGTATAAAATCTGTACTATAGTTTAGTTTACAGGTTGGACTGCAGTATAGTCTGGACTATAGATTAATATATAGTCTGGACTATAGATTAATATATAGTCTGAACTATAGACTAATTTATAGTCTGGACTTTAGCAATTGTCTGGACTATAGCCTTGTCTATAGACTGGACTATATCATTGTCTATAGTCTTGACTATAGTCTGGACTATAGTTTTGTCTATAGACTGGACTATAGACTAGAATATAAGCTTGTCTATAGACAGTACTATAGCCTCGTCTAAGACTAGACTATAGCTATGTCTATAGACTAGACTATAGCCTTGTCTATAGACTGGACTATAGTTTTATATATAGACTGGACTATAGTTTTATCTATAAACTGGACTATAGGCTTGTCTATAGACTGGAATATAGGCTTGTCTATAGACAGTACTATAGCCTCGTCTAAGACTAGACTATAGCCTTGTCTATAGACTGGACTATAGTTTTATCTATAGACTGGGCTATAGTTTTATCTATAAACTGGACTATAGACTTGTCTATAGACTGGAATATAGGCTTGTCTATAGACAGGACTATAGCCTTGTCTATAGTCCTTAATATAGCCTTGTCTATAGTCTGGACTATAGCCTTGTCTATAGTCTGGACTATAGCCTTGTCTATAGTCTGGACTATAGCCTTGTCTATAGTCTGGACTATAGCCTTGTCTATAGACTAGACTATAGCCTTGTCTATAGACTAGACTTGTTTATAGACTGGACTATAGCTTTGTCTATACACTGGTCTATAGCCTTGTCAATAGACTAGACTATAGACTTGTCTACAGACTAGACTATAGCCTTGTCTATAGGCTGGACTATAGCTTTGTCTACAGAATGGACTATAAACTTGTCTATAGACTGGAATATAGGCTTGTCTATAATCTAGATTATAACCTTGTCTATAGTCTGGACTATAGCCTTGTCTATAGTCTGGACTATAGCCTTGTCTATAGTCTGGACTATAGCCTTGACTAAAGTCTAGACTATAGTCTAGTCTATAGTCTGGACTATAGCCTTGTCTATAGTCTGGACTATTGCCTTGTCTATAGTCTGGACTATAGCTTTGTCTATAGTCTGGACTATAGTCTTGTCAATAGTCTTGACTATAGCCTTTTCTATAGTCTGAATTATAGCCTTTTCTATAGTCTGAATTATAGCCTTTTCTATAGTCTGGACTATAGCCTTGTCTATAATCTGGACTATAGCCTTGTCTATAGTCTGGACTATAGCCTTGTCTATAGTCTGGACTATAGCCTTGTCTATAGTCTGGACTATATTGATAATTAGGGAGCCTCGTTGTTTTCAATTATCCGTTTCACGTTTTTATTAAACTTTGTATAATTAGGAATCTATACAAGAAGTCTATACAAGCAGGTCTAAATTATTCATATTTTAAAGCGTTCGAAAATAATTCTCTAATAAATTAATAATTTTAAAAAGAATTAATTCTTTAAGCTTCTTTAAGAATTCTGCCTTAAAGTACTAATCTAGTTCATTTGCCTTCTCAGCCTAAGGCCACTATCCGCTCTTAAAAAAAAAAAACAATTGAAATTCTTAGACATTATTTTGGATAATTTCTTTTAATTATATTTCTTGTATAGAAAAATTAAACATTATTTTTGAAAAAAAAAAAAATTAAACAAAAACCTGTTAGCAATTTATAAACAAAACAAGTAAGAAAAAAAAAGAGAAATTTACATAATAAACTTAACAGTATAAAAAAAATTCAAATAAATAGCCTCTGGTTAATAAAATAACTTAATTAACAAAAAATATTTAGAAAATAAATCATATAATAACATAAACACAAAAAAATAAGCTCACCTGTATTAAATACATTTTGTTTTTTTTTTTTGTTTCTTTCAATTAACAAGCAATTAAACAAATTGTTTAAACAAGAAAAAAAAATTATAATAAAATAATGTGAAAAAATTTTGAAAATTAAAAAGAAAAATTTAACACATTAATTATTATAATTATGATGAAGATAATGAAATAGAAGTGCAGTATTGCAGGTATACTTTTTTTCCACTTTACTAGGTTTGCTGGGTTTAAAATTTAATAGACCTTAAAACTGTTTAAATTATGACTGCTGTGCTGTTGCTGCTGCTGTTTAAGATTTTTCTTCAGATGTTTTTGGTTATTTATAATTTATGCGGGTTTTCTTTCTTTTTTTATGTTCTTATAGTCTTTGCTCTAATTGTTATTAATGTTGAAGTTTTTAATCATTTTATTTCTTTTTTTTAAATATTGCAAATATTAAGAAAGTGTTGTTTCTATGATTATTAGAACTTGTTTTATGATTCGGTTTTGTTTTTAAAACTTTTTTAAACCTTCATTTGATTTTTAAGTGTTTTTTTAGGGGGGTTTTATAATGCCTTTATAAATTATCATCAAATTTATTTAGATTTTGTAGGAGTTTTTTTTGTAATTCCTAGAATTTAGTTAAATTTCTGTGGATTTTGAAATATGTATTTCAGGTTTTGTGGATTTTTATTTAAAAATTTCTATAGAATTTTGTTTAATTAGTGGTTTACTTTTTAAGTTGTTGGCTAAATAGTTATTAAAATACTGTTAGTTTTTTTAAGCTTTTAAATTTTTATTAAATTTTCTTTTTAAATTTGGCAAGATTTGAATTTTTATAGAAAATTACTTTTTAGAATTTTCTATTATTAATTAATTTGAAATTTTATTGCACAGTTGAGCGTTTTGTTTAAAATTATTAAAACTTTTATTATTTTCAGGCTTTAGTTTAATTAAATTGTTAATTTATTAAAATTTCTTTAATTTTGTTTTTAATATTATTCAAATTTAAACTTGTTTTTTTAAATATTGTTTCAAAACGTTTGCAAAATCTTGAGAAAATTGTTGTTATCCATTTATTTCTTTATTTCGTTGCTTTAATTAAAAGTTTTAATTAAAACTTGTTAATCGATTTGATGTAAAACTGTAAACAATGTTGTTAAACTAAAAAGCTTTTAAAAGCTTTATTTCAATTGTATTTAAACTTCAATATTTTGTTTTAAATTACTTAAACTTTGTGTGTTTGAATCGTTCAATATCTATTAAAATTTGTGTTCAATCTTTGTTAAATTTCAAAAATTTCATGAGTATTTCGTAAAACTTGAGTATTTTTTTATTAACAGTAGATTTTGTTTCGATATTTGTTTGCAAATGATTAAAACTTTTCGTTGATTTAATGTAAAATTTTATTATTATTTGTTCACAAATGTTTTAAAAATTTCAATTAACAAAACTTTTCGTTGATTTAATGTAAAATTTATTTATTATTTGCAAATGATTAAAAATTTCATTTAACAAATGTTTTCATTGATTTAATGTAAAATTTTGTTTAAACTTTGTTGCAATATTTAAGAATTTATAGAAAATTTTCACTTTATATTTTAAACTAATTAAAAATTTCGTTAATTTAGCAAATTTCAACTGATATTAACAACACTTTTCTTTGATTTAATAACAAAAAGTGTGCACAGTTTAGCTTGATTTTTTTTTGTTTAGTTTTAAAAGTGAAAGAAATTTAACACTTTTGCTTGTTTAAATGATTTGAAGAAAAAAATTATTCACACGCATATAATTTTTAATAAATCAACAGCAAAATGCAATTTTTAAAAATGTTAAAAAAGAATTTTAAAATGTTACATAAAAACTGACAGCAGCAAAAACTTTTTTTGACGTTTCTTTTTGAAATTAAGCAAATGTTGCTAAATTTAATGGATTTTTTTATTGTTGTTGTTGTTCACTATATACAATTTAACACACACAACAAGAAAAGTATTCCAAAAACTTTTTTATTAAAAAATTGATTTTTTATATAATTTTTTTTCTTTTGTTATTTTAAATGAAATTCTTTTACTTGTTAAATTCCAAGTTTGATCGATTTTCTTTTATTAAAGGTTATTTATTACATTAGTTATTCATTAGTGTGTTATTTTTTTCTCTTAGTCACTAAATTAAATATTATTCTGTTTCACTATTTATACACGTTTTTTATTGTTACTTCTTTTTATTATTATTAAACATTTATTAAGACTTTCTTTCGCGCTTGCGTTTTTTCTTCAACAAATGTTGTTATATTAGTAACAACGTTTTTATTAAATTGTCTTTTTCTTTATCCGTTAATTTTAACATTTTGTACCTTTCGTTTCAAAGGTTGTCACGCTATTGAAATCCACTCTAGAGGTTGCATTCTCAACAAGGTGTTTGTACAAGTAAATGTTTATGGTGTTATCCAACATGTTGTCTATGCTAGCAGGTATGAAGTAATTTGCAACATGTTGTGTTTATGTGCGGTGGGAGGTTTGAAAAGAAAAGTGTTATACGCTCTCACACATGTTTGATGCGGGTTATGTGTAGGAACAGTGGTATAAAAAGGAAAAATTTTCTATAAAAGTTTTGTAATTTAAATACACTTTTTTCAAACAAGATTTAATGAAAAAAATTAACTATTTAAAAGTCTTATCACCCACCATTTTCTCGCAAAATGTCATCGAATCTATATACATACATATACATATAAGAGTATCGTTGCTGACTGACTGATTCATCAACGCACAGCCCAAACGGCTGAACCTTGAATCATGAAATTTTGACATGGATGTGTTTTTGGCAGATCCACTAAGAAGGGATTTGTAAAAATTTGTACATTTATGGGTAAAAAAGGGAAAACCCGGTTTTCTTAATTATCTTACTCTTAAAATAAGCAGATGGGTGCCTGGTAGTTTTTTGAAATTCGTACTTTTAATTGTTGGAAGTGTGTAACAATGGGATTTTGGTACCTTTTTGGCTCTTTATAACTTTTTAACTAATAAGCATAATACAATTTTTGT